TGAGGTAGGGATTCCCTCCACTCCGGATGGTTGATGGCCCAACCAGAACAGCTATGGAAGCAGCAAACTCGCTGCCGATGCAATATGCCCCAACATTTCAGGGGGACTTGGCATCAGGCGATCTTCCAGCTTTTGTCGCCCCTCCACCGGGACTGCCCAACGTCTCTGGTACCGCTGAAGCTGTATTGCAGAAGCCATCGCCTCGGCGCAACCATAGCTCCCGAGTGCCAGTACAGTTCCTCCAATGGCACTGGGAGCAGCAGTAAGACAAATAACATGATCTTTGGCTCACTTTTTACAGCGCCGCTTAGACCGGAACCAGGATCCTGCCATGTGGAATCTTGGAAAATAACTCCGATTCACAAATGTGCAAGCTGAACTGAGCATTCAAACTACCGCTCATTATCTCTTCTGCTTATACTCTCCAATCTCATGGAATCAATCATTGCTGATACGTTAGTTTGATATCTGGAAAACTGCGACATCATTACTCCGGCCAGCGTAGCTTTCGTTGACAGCGATCGTGCATCTAAGTGATTAGTCGCACGGTGTACTTAGCTGGTGTCAGCTGATGCTGGATAGATCGCTGAGGTAATCTATCTGGATTTTTCGTAGACACTCGAGCGTCCAAGCTTCCAATCATCCTTTCTAAGCTCCAGTGTTACGGAGTCGGTGACCTTGTTCTAAGCCGGATCGCCAAATTTCTCCTTCGACGGCACATAGTGGTCAGAGTTGGGACCTCTTTATCTGACCCCATACAAGTTGAGTGTGACGTGCCGCAATGCACAGTTCTAGGTCCGCGATTGCTTTTGGTGCTTAGTAATGACCTCACACAGGTAATCGCTTTAAACGTTCTACTGTTTGCTGATAACATCTAAAGTTTGCGAAGGATCCAAATGAATCCGGACCAACATCTGCTTCAGAGTGATCTAGACACGGTACATCAACAGTAAATGCAACATTTACTGCAATTCAACGTGAATAAAACAACGCGCTCTCTATACAACACCAGATCAATCAGTTACACAGTCTCGGAGTGCGGATATTGCAGCAGTCTTACATCGAACGTGATCTGGATGCGCTGGTTCAATCTGACTTGGTTTTTCCGGAAAATCTAAAAGATCTCCAAAGCTGGTAACCAACACTACAGTCTGAGGCGACGGGCGTTCGGACAAATAGACATATATATTTTCCAACAGATGCTCAGTGCGGATGTGCGCCTCCATGTCCAGAAGGCAATACAAGTCTGGCATTCATGGCTGAAACACAACTTTACTGCACTACAGCAGCCTCGAAGTCGGGCATCCAAGTACGGTACTGAAATACGCAATCTCCCATACGAGCAGAAGCTGAAACGATTAGGGGTAATCAGTGGTTGATATCGCAGATTACGAGGTAACCTAATAATGGCTTACTTACTACTGCAAACCCATGTGTGCTGCCCCTTACTGCAACTCAGGAACAATACAAACCTTAGAGGCCACTCATGGGAACTCGCAGAACAGTATGGAGTGCCGCAGGGATTTCCTTTCCATTCGTGTATATAACCCGTGGAATTCTTTCCCTGAGTCGATCGTCTCTACACAGACATTGGCGACATTTAAAAGATGACTGGAAAACGCACTCATTCACTTACACTTTGTCACTCAACGCTACGTCTCCATCCTACACCTGGAGTTGACCATGGATTTATTTAGTGTTAACTGTGGGTACTGTTAAACTACGCGGATTGCAAGACTACAGCAAAGCAAACAAGAAATCTTTCTTTTCAAACTACCCAACGGGACTTGTAAGGCAGTGTTCATATCTCGTAGCAATTCTTTGTTCTTTGTTCATTGTGTGGGCATAACGAAACCGTAATAGATCAGCTACTTTCACTGCTGACCGTGTGCACCCATCAGTCTTGACCAGTGCTGGGATTTCAAGCTTTACCTTACGAAGCTTATTAACGTGCCTGTCTAGGAGTTTGTGGTTTTTGCGTATTCACTTCATTAATTTTTGCTGATGCGTCACCTTGTACTCGCGGATCAAGTTCACACAGAATTTGCACTGTGCCATGTATTCGTGATGAGGTCCCGCGGTTTTGAGTTGTGGCGTTCTCTAAGTTCGACCAGGTTCCTAAGAAGGCCTTGACCTTTAGGGTACAAACAGGATAACTTTTTGGATTCTAGGAGTGCCTTCTTTGATGTCAGATTTAGACTTTGGTTTAAGTCGACCGTTAGGTGGTCGGTTTCTGATCGCTTGTTTGTTTAGTGGTGTGTTTATGAATTTCATTCAGGCCGCATGGTCTCACAGAGTTTTCCATATCAGGATGTTTGCTAATGCTTCGCTCTGACCTGTTGTGTGCCATGGAAGTTGTTGTGTAAACCTCTGAGGGACTGTGGTCACTAAGGAGTTACTGAGATTGCAAGTTCCAACGAATTGCTGACCACTCGTGGTCGTGCACTTGCTGCCTTTAGCCGGATCTCGGTTGGTATCATGCAGGGAAACTGCAAACTGTTACAAAATATAACTTGTGTCATTTCTACAGATTGTTGCACCACTTTCAGCAAGTTTGAACAGCGTCCCTTGTAATTAGGTGCTGAAGGAATTTTTCCTTAACGATTTAGCGATAACACTGTCCCGAGATAGTGCATCCCGGGTGTAGCACCAATGCTCTTGGTAATGTGTTTGCGCATCATGATCAGGGGAAGCCAGAAGCTCGGGAATACCGTGAACAAGTATGTGTTTTTTCCATCGCTTTTAGGCGGGCCGCCTTGATTATCCTCTTCATTTGGGCGATCATTCTCAGGAAGATCGAGTAATATGCACAACCCGCTTTGTGAGTTGCAAAGACGAACTACTGAAAGCAGGACAGCCACTGTCTCTTCCGCTGAGTTCAGAGCAACTCGAAAAATTCCATGTTAAACATAGTGCACTATGATCGAGTGACGAGCTACGCACCTCAGCATAGTTGGCTCAACCCGAATACAAATCCTGTTGTAGATGGAATTCCAATGGTTTCGATCGTCTAGAAACTTGCCCTTTATTGTACTAGATCTGGACTCGGGTACGTTAGTGCCCATGAGAGTCAACGCCCTTTGTTTCTGTCTATTAGACCCCCTTTTAAGGTTTATGGCTGGCGATTTGGACTGTTTATCATGCACTGGAGACGTTCGTGAAAGCTGTGGCGTATCGCTCGTGCTCGATAAAGAAGATGAGCATATGGTTGTCACTTCGGCCGTTTTTGTCGAGGCGACCGGCTCTAAACTGCCGGTGTTTCAAACGATCGTTAGGGTTAACCACTACAAAAGGGTTAAAAGCATATATGTCGAATGTGACTTGCCTGACTAAGGGGTTACCACGTGCCGGAGTAAATGGAGCAGATGTCATGAGACGGCTAGCAAGTCTGGCTTCACTGTTTGGCCTAGAGATGCGCCTCAGGGGGGGCGTACTGTGAAACAGCATTGATCTTCTTAGATTCCAATGGCAAAGCACTGAGAGTCATCATATGCTTAGTTGTTTCGGTCAGGTTTTCACACTTTTTATTTACAAACACAGCTATAAAATTGATAACTGGAATCGCTACGCATCCACGGCAAAATCAGAATGCATCAGCAACCTTCTTGAGCCTCTTTCATGCTACTTGACTTACGCCATCACATTTAGCGTGTAATTTAAAGGACATTTAGAGCAGGCTAGCCCTGTCCTTACCGCGCAGTGCATCTCGATTTTCTACGTTTTCCGTTAAGTTGGATCATTTTCAGCGATGGCTGTTGTTGCAACCGAATAACTGCAAGTGTTCGGTCACCTAAGGTAGTGTGAGTTATCATCGAGTTCATTGTCCCAGTCGCAAAGTTGTCCGCCGTCATCGTAGGCAGATTACTCACGGGAATGACACGGGCACGCGCAGTTTGACTTCTTTTAATTGACTGTTGTACGTGTAAGTTTGGGCTTTTGAACTTACCTTGCAGTGGGTGGATGTCTGAGACTTAATTTCACCGATTGGCGATTGTAATCAAAAGCCACGAAATGAATCGCAGCTTTCTTAGAAATGATCACCTTAGCTGTCGGACTAGCGCGTTACTGATTTTCGTGTAGTTGTGTCTACGTAGTTGTTCAACTCGAATGCGTCGAATAACCCAGCGTGTATTTTTCTTCCCTTCGCTGTCTTGCAAATGGACTGTAAGCAAATACAATCACAGGTTCGCACTTCCATAGTTACACTTCTGCACAGACGCTATAGAACCCTGTAAGCATCCCATCCACCTCGCCTCCTTTAAACAGTAACTACGAGGTCACCCACTTGTTGTTAATACCCAAAATTTCGTTTCACTCCCTGTTTTCCTTTTGGAAACGAATGATTCTAAAAGCAATACGCCTGCCTATTAAAGTTCCCACTTTGATGATCGCTGAAATGTGGTCTGCCAAACTAGTCTAGAACAGACCAGCAAGGCACGGGTTCGATACAGTTGCATGAAGTATATTGGCCGACCCAAGCGACATCTTTTTGAGTTTATGCATTACTTATTCCAAGATGTCATCTAACTGGACACTAGTTAGTCTACTCTACCTTTGGACTCGGCCTGAGGCATTTAAATATCATTGGAATTACAACTGTTTGTGATTAACAACTGCAAAACTTTCGCTTGAGCCACTAGCAATATGTACGGAATAACAACACATTTCCCTTGTGATGCTCACTAATTCACATTTCGTGACAGGTGCAGATGGGAGGAAAATAATTTTGCACCCACTTAGCCCATTATGAGCCTATAGTCAGTAACACATTAAACGTAACGGCAAGCTGCACATCCTTGCAGATTTGTGAAATGGTATCCAGTCAAGAATGTGTCGAGCTGAGATAGCTGCTCCAATCCGGTTGCTGGTTTTGTTTAATGCAAATGCGACCTCAGGGATGCGAATAGTGCAGCCCATATACCCACCAGTACGCTTCAGCTATTAGGTAACTTCTGTAAAACACCTCCATCATTCAAGTAATTTTGCTTTACTCTTTACAGTCTCAATCGGGTTCTCTTGGCTGCATGGAAAGACATAATTGACGAAAGACTGGCAGTTTGCCTAGAATTCTTCCGGAGATTTCTACAACAGCTTTGCGACAGTGAGGTGAGCAACACTTAATTAAGGTGTGTGTGTGTAATACCGACGATACGTAAAATTCCATGGCCGTCTAAAGACAAAAGAGGTGCCGGGCATTGATACCAAACTTTTGACTACAGAACGACCTGTTATTTACAGCGTACAATTCGTTGTAATGTTGCGTTGTTACTGCGGTTTGCGATTTACTCACCGTTCCCTTCACCACTGATCCGGCGACCAATCTATATTGTCAGCATGCGGTTCGTTCTTCGTTACTCTGCGAGTAATGCATACTTTAGCGCGCTTCAAATGCATTTATCAGTATCAGTACGAGTTTGGGTGAATCTTGTGCCGGTACTCTAAATCTTTAAGTTCGGAGCTAGTTTTCTTTTACCACCGATCGACACACTGCGGAAGCTCCGAACGGAAGCTTGGTTTGATTTTTTAAACAGCTAATGCCATGGGTGGATATGTGTGTAGCACTTTTTTGAACTAATTATATCTAAAAGTTTTATGCTTTTTTTAGACGAAATGTAATACGTTTTCTACCTCGACACTGTCACGGAACACATAGAAAGGAGGTGTTTTGTCAGTTTCACCTTAGATAAATCAAACCACCTCTTGGATTAATTAACTTCCTATCGTCTTCTTCATCTAGGAGTGTCGATACTTCATATTACGGCTCATGGACTTTCACAGGGGAATCTGTCTTCAGCCCATTTTCTCAATAGTTCTTGAGATGTGGAGCCTTCGTCACTAAAAACCATACCTACGACTTCGCGAAAATATGAAGGGGCGAACACTAATCCAACTAAGGGTTTCGAACTTGGAATTTGTATTGTGATACGAGCTATGGCGTCGCTTTTAATTGATGGTGTCTAAAAGTAAAGAAAAGGCTGCTTTCTGACGTAAGGATGGGAGACGAATTTGTGGTCTTGTGTAGGCGGAAGACCTCCCGGTTACCCAGACCGAGGAACAGGGTTGACTTAAGAGACCCCATCCCGAGCCTTTGCTCTTAGAGACCTGACCCGCATGGCGGCGGACCGGTTCAAGCATGTAGCTGGAACGTCCAACGAGCTGCTGAAGAGGAAGACCGATCAGGTTTAGGTTTGTTCTCCCAGCCGAGCTATTTCATTGCATAGGTTTCATCACCAATCGAGGTGACTTCATCAGTGCGTACTAAACAAAACTTGGCCGAGGAGAGAGTGATGTTTGAACTTGGCCCCTTCGAAAGCCCATGCCAGCGAAGTGGCTCATCCGCCTTCGTTGTGTTCGGTAACAGTCCACACAGAAGCCCGTGGCCAGCAAGGTTGTTCATCCGCCCTCCATAAGTACTCACCTCTGGTTACAGAAGTGAGTGGTCAGTGACCCCATAGCCGGTCACATTGGCTGGTTGCTTGATTATTGCCCAGCAGCCCATAAGACCCCTGGCTGCACATGGTGTATTCTACGTGTACGCTGCATGATGGTGTCAATACCGCTCTTGAGCTCATATATGAAAGCACGTCTCACGGTCCGTGGGAACCGATAGACCGTACACACCTCACCTGAGTTTATCCGCTTTTCTGCGCTGAAGGGCAATATTGACTGATTACATTGCACTGAGGATAACACCGTGAGGTATGGTAAAGTTGATAAAAGTTGATAAAAGCGGTTATTGGCCACACATAATCACGAGTGGACAGTAGCTGGCGTCCAGTGCAACCTACTTGAACACTTATCCTTGGGTGTAGGAGTTGTGTGTTGTGGATTCTCATGATGCGAATGCTGGTCAGTACAACGCCTAACTCAAGCATGGCGTCAGCGACTACAGGAGTGCACTGCACAATCATTTCATCCCTTCGATTCGATGAGGGTCACCAGCTTGTTACTTAGTGTTATGGCTAAATATACCTAAGCTTCCGGGCCATAACGGGTTCGTTCTAGGTCACGACCCACCGATAAATAACTTGTACTTTACCTCAGTGTGTTACAGCCAACCATATACTTTCTCTGTTAGTAATATGCCTGGCAAATACAGGAGCTAAAGGTGTCTTCCCGGATTTGGAGAAGACACATAGTGCATTTGCTTTGATTGCAACTTTCAGGACAAGTGTTGATGGAGAAATTAACTTGGCTGCAATCAGATTCTATAGCTTTTGTTTTGGTTCTGCCATGGAATAACAGCGTTTGGTATGAGTATCCAGGTTTTGCAACAAGTTTCTGCTGCGCGGTAGTTTCTGACTTGCGGTGACTCGAAAATATCGGTTGAAAAACAACGACGGTATTTAAGCTCGATGGAGCCAACTATTAAAGAATGGCTGTAGTTCCTTATTAGGCTCTAGATTGCCTAGGATGGGTAGTTAAGTATTGTTGTCGACAAACTGTACCCTCTTAATGAACTGAAAGTCAAAGGGACAAGTAACGGAAACCAGTGCAATAGCGAAACTTCCTCATATTGAATAGTAGAGCGTCACCGTAAAGCACGATGATCTGAACTACGACTACATGAAGTCCAAGCGAAGGTAGCGAGTAATACCTAGAGTTGAAAACGAACTCAATCTAAAGCATTAAATACAGATCGGGGTAGTAAATTGCATGGCAACGGTAACACAACTGTTTGAAGAATGAAATCCTTTGTTAGCGGCACAGCACTTAATCTGATCACCAGTGGATGCGCCGAGATTATCAACTGATTAAACATCTTCGGTGTAGCCCATCACTACTACTCAGGGTTTATATGCACCATAGGTCGTGGTGTCTGGTAACCTACTGTCTTTGATCCGACGGATGATTGATTGCAAGTGACCATGTGTTGTGGATACTGCCGCAATGGTATTTCGTCTTAATTTAACTATACAAGCATTACACACCCATGCGTTTGCCATCATTTAAGTCAGTTTGACGGACGTCCGTTAATGCATTTCAACTTGGATTTACCCGTGTGGATTAGCGAACCATTTCGACTCGCAATTCTGGCATTCTTAGATTGAAAACGTATAAGTGAACTTCATTAATTCAACATCGTCCAAGAATAATAAGCTTTCTGTTCCAAAGACCATTCCAAAGGCTGTCCAAGAATTCCGTAAAAATTCGTTGACAACAACATACAAAGTTTAAGTTGCTTTACTTTATTTAGTGGATCCCGTTCAGTTAGAGCATTGTTCACGTGACACCCAGCTTTTAAGGCTGACCATGTTTCCCCCCTACACTGATGCGACAGAGATGGTAACATCACGGTAAGGAAGAGTGGAAGTTTCATCCTACTTGTTATTTACTCGACAAACATATGGCTGACAAGTGGGACATTCGGTCGCGCATTCCCACCTTGGCCTTGGGGCAAACGGTCTGCTAATCAGCAGTTTTACAATGTAAACCAACTATACCATTTCCGAGTCACGTTAGGCCATACAGGTAGCAACTTAAGCTAACCAGATATCAACCTCATCTGGTACGCTAACAGGTTACTCCTTCCGTTGAACTAAGTTGAGTCAGGCGACTGTGACATGCGCGCAACGTCGCGTGGCTAGTTCCTTAGCCAAGCGCTGTCGGTCAATAACATGTCGAATGCATAGTAGACGTAGCAACGTGTACGCATGTGTAGGGTAAGTGGGTTAAGGGATTCACTACAGCCCGGAGGTTGCTCGTATGCGACTTGGTACATGGGCGCTGACGGATTACGTGACGGCGGATGGGAGTAGTACCACGTTAACATCACCCACGGCAGGCTAAGAGGAAACGGGGTCAGTGTATGATAAGTACTTTGAACGCGATTCACAACACCATTATAACAGAGCCTGTTATGGAATCGGGTCACTGGCTACTCGTATTCTGACACGGCCGACAATCCGTGTTACTAAGCTAAAAGCCAGGCGCTTGTCCGTACGACCTATCGCGTGCCGTGAATACATGGCGCGCACCGGGCACTAGGCACAATAAGAGTGGCGCATTGAATCGCGTAGGCCACAGGTTACTTTGGTCACACCGCGAAATCACATGTGCGCCGGTAGACATAGACATATGCACTGGTGAGATGATACCAGCGCAGAAATCTTTCTGGTGTCCTGCGATTGTGATGGGCGAGGTATCAACGTGGACGCTAAGGTGGTAATGCAGCTGACATATGAGTTGTCTCAGTGCTTGTTCCATGGCTAATCCTCAATGCGCCTCAAAGCAACGTGTAAAAGTTACACTGAGTGTTGTTTAGTAGGGGTAATTAAGTGAATGCTTAATGAGTCCCGTAGGTAGGTAGGGGGTAGACCAAAAAATCCAAAGATTATAGTGACACCACAGTTAGGCGTATAAGAATGCTGCGGTGATACCATGATGTGCTATGGGTAGAGAAGTAGTGATGCAAGATGAGGCTGAGAATGGGACGTCTACACAGTGAGCGGCTTACTGGCTCCTAGTACGCCGTCGCATGCTCCCACAGGAATGTCTTCCTACTGCGGGCAAGTGTGAATGAGTCTCGCTTGTTTCGCAGACAATCAGCGTAGCATATCAGAGCGTGGGAAGTTCGACGCTGTCTATCTAGTTATGTATTACATGCCACAAAGCCAATGTTTCCGGATACAGAGTGATTGACCAACCACTTTTTAGCCAGAATGGAGTATCTAACGGAGGGTGGATGAACAACCTAGATTACTACTCGTTTCTGTGTGGACTACCATCGAGCATTAAGAAGGTGTTTGAGCCAACTGGCTGTCCACTGTGTTCGCAATCATCAACGAGTCGGATGCTTCAGGAAACGGTTCATGGTCCCTTTACTGCTATACTCGTACTGTTCCGGTGCCATAGGTAGTTTGTTGACACTCAAAACTCTTGCTATCGGCTCTCGACGGTTCGTGACATATGCTAATCACCTCACAGCTTTGCTGGTAACGGCTTTAAGAACTAAGGCGTTGGCTCGGGTTATAGAGTAGTTAACCGCTTCTCCTACCTGGGTAACTGAAAAGCTCCATATACAGACAACACACTTGCACATGAATTTACGTAATCCTCGGATTGTTTACAGAATACATGCACGCCAAACTTATCGGGAGACATAA